TTTAGGATACAAATCGATTTATTTGTATTTTTCAGATATGAAGCAACAACATGTCATAGAAACATTGATTGGCAAAAAGCAACAGATCTCTCTAGCAACGCAAATGGTTAGAATGATTTTGAAGATCGATGATATCCGTAAGCCTGGAGAATCTGAAGAATAAAGACAAGATTTAGAATAAAATGTAGTAGTAAGATCCACTACTGTGATTAAATAAAAGGGGGTTATATGTGCATCTACGGTTATTTATTACTGTGTTCTTTTTCAGACACTGTAGATGCTATGATAAAAATAGTTGTTTGGTAACCATAGCTTCACTTGTTCAAAGACATGCAATTGTAGGGATGCTGTCTCACAAGCTTCTGTATTTGTTATATTAAAAGGATCTCTTAAAACCACCTTTATCTGTTGCTCTTTAGTAATCATTTGTTGTAATCAAATGCTGCCTTCATTCAAGGAGCTTGTTTTTAAAAAGTTCTAGGAACTGTTTTAACAGCTTAAACATTGAGTTTGTTCTTAAGATTTATTTTAACATTGAGATGAGTAGGGGCTCGATCCTATTAAATGTATGTACATGTGCATATCTAAATGGGTGAATCTTTTGATTATAGAGACCTGTCATAGGCAAGGGTTTCTACCACATAATTATGGGGTGTCTTGAGTGCCATTAGGTTACAGTTACACCAACATAACCTTGGACATTATTACAGTGCTGATGAGATCAGCATTGGAGGTTTAATCTTATAGTCCCTATTGCCTTATCCTGGTCCTGGTCCCGGTCCCATCCTAAACGCAAGCCGGCTTGTGTGTGTGTGGAGGCCAGAGCAGGCCCAGACTCCTCTAGCACCCACAGATGCTTAGAAGGGCAAGTCAGAAACAATTGAGGTTTTCTTACCAGAGGGACGGAACAAGTGGAGGAGTGAATTCTAGAAAATAAGGGAGAAATAAAGTACAAGGAAATGTCTTGGAATTGCCATGTATGAGTAACTTGCTATTAATTCTATACTAAAATAATACCAACAGTGGCTGCCATCACCACTGGCTAGGTCTTGTTTTGAAGAGTTTACTTGTCTCAATTCTTGTCATCCTATGAAGGAGATACATTTCTTATTCACATCCTGTAAGTAGGATTTGACCATTTGCCAGACAGTCTCATGGCTGTAAGTTGCAGAGCCTGGTCAAACTCTGGCTGTCTAACTCCACAGGGTTCCGAGTTCCACTCGCGTCACTTAAACTATCTTGCTTGTGTATGGTTCTCTGGATTTTGTAAAAGAATGTTGCTTACAGAGAATCATGATAAAAGTTCACTTACGTGTCATCAGGAGTAGAGGATGTACTTGTAAGACATGTCTGATTTCCTAAAATTGGGATATGGTGGTTCTGACGAATGTGTCAGGGTTACCTCCTGTGAACCTGGATGCTGATGAGCCTTTAACTGTTGGGTCATTGTGTTTCTCTACATGAATGTATTGGTTTTGCAGAACAAGTACACTGAGGATTTAGGATTATTCAGGAGTAATTTCCTGAATAATCCTAAATCCTCAGTGGTAATCAGTGTTCCTAATCCTAGAATGTTTATAGAACTAGACAATTGAGTATTGAAAGCTTAAAACCTACTAAACATACAAGCTATTGTATATTTCATCATACAATGGGTGGTGACATCACATAATTATTATGCACTATTGCATTCTCAGTGTCGCATCAGGATGTACGTGTTCCATTGGTAGGGTCTCGTCAGACATGGACCTGCTTAGATAATTGGCATGGTAGTTAGGGTGAGTTGATTGATGAGGACTCGTTGCAGCCTGCAGAGAGGATAGAGCAGCGGGCTTTGGACCAATGTCACCTGAAGGGGCTTGTGGTTGTGTGAGAAGAGCCACTAAACCACTCTTCCCTTCCAAAAACGAACCTCACATGTTCCTGGCTCTTCTGTGATTGAGAGTATAAACTACATGGTCTAGGAACTGGCAACCATATAAAGATGTTTCACAGCTGTTGGTATTTCATGAAAAGCACTTCCTCAAGGCAGCATTACCTTCAGATTCCAAATCACTTGTCAAGCCTCACATCCTTTGCACATTAGATCCCCCATCTCTTATGATGAGTGGCAAGAACTACAGGCGCACGACCCTGAGGACAGGTTCACACAGGAGCCACCCTGTGCCTGTTGGTTCCTGGTGCCTACGCTGGCTGGATTTATTTGATGTTTCTTGAGTAATAGCCCTGGTCTTGTAAACAACCACTGAAGTACAAATGCGCCTGGAAGGGCCAAGAGGCTAGTCTGTTACATGTGACTGAATTTCATTAATCCTTTTGCCTTTCTCTATTCCTGTGAAGTAGCTCCACTGAAGGGTTGGGAGTTTGGAAATGGGCATGACAGTAATTAAACAATAAATTACTAGTTTTGTAAGCACGGAGAACTGTTTCTCCATCTTGGGTGATCTTGCAGGCAGCCCTGCAAGATGTGGAGGGGGTGGGGGACGGATCTAAATCACCAGAAAAGGGGATACCAGAGGCAACTGGCTGCATAGAAAATGGCCAGCCAAGTGGGGAGAACCAAGCAGCAACATGTGTGTGCAACATTTGTTGTGTCTTAGGTGCCATAAATATTTTCTATAGATACTAACAGTGGGTTTACTGCAGGGTGGCCCACAGACTCCTAGGGGCTGTGAGGGCAAAAGTATTGCCATAACAAAATCCACTTGCCTTTTTCACTGTAGAAATTTGCACTGATGGCGTGCAAAAGCAGTGAGGGGTAAAATTGCTCTGTTAGCTTGAGTGAGGGCAGTGGCACCAAATCATACTAATGGTCATAGTCTTCACCACCACATGAAAAAACCGTTTTCCCTGAAGGATGGCCTTGATCAAGCAATGCAGACTACTAAATCATTACATCTCACCTTGAGTGCACGGCTTTTAGTGTTCTGTGACATTAAGTATGTAAACGTTCATGTAACAAGTATGTAGTGGTCTCAGCTGAAGTAGCCCCTTAAGGAACACCATTTTTGTTTCAAAGAATGACTGACGAACTGATTACTCGGAGTTGGATATATAAGACATTTTCTCAAAAGTGAATATAGTGAGCCTGTCACTTCAGAATAAGTGTCTTAGTTCAGGCTCCTATGACAAAAATAGCACAGACTGAGTGACTTAAACAATAAACATTCCTCAGTTCTGGAGGCTGGATGTCCAAGATCAAGGAGCTGGCTGATCCAATGTCTGGTGAGGGCCCGCTTACCAGCTTGTAGACAGCCACCTACTTGCAGTATCCTCGCGTGGCCCACGGAGAAGGAGATACCTATCCCCCAGTGATGTTCTTCGCAATCCCCTCCCTTTTTGCCTACTTTTTGAAACTCTACCCACCCCCACTCCCGCCATGATTTTCGTGTGGCTCCATCTCACTCCTCTCTGAAGGTATGTGAGGTCCCCACCACGACCCGAGTACAAGGTACACAGATGATACCTCCCCCAGGAGACTCTATTCCCCCAACAACCCCACTCGCAAAGTGATGTCATTTTCCTCATTTATAGATTTTTTACATTGAGAAAAACAGGGCTTCTGTACATGCTAGGGCCTGGGCACTTGGAACTCTTGCCCTCTACATCCTCTACACCCACCTCCCACCCCTTTCCCTCTGCCTCCACCTGGCAGGTGACACCCAAGGCTATAGGTCCACGTAGGGCTGCATCTGCTGCCCACTCAGCTGAGCCCCATGCCCCCTTTCTTCACTGTGCTCAGCCTGGGGACCCAACCAGTCCCAGCCAGACTCCCACAACTTCAACTCATGCTCACTCCCAGCGTCTTTCATGACACATATGGGGAACCAGCTGGAGGATTTTGGGAAAGAGTTCCCTCCGTAACAAAAGGACAGCCCTCCCCACCCTTCCTGCTGTGGCTGCTGTTTTGTGAGGTGGAGGCCCACAGCCATGCCCATGAGCAGGGCCTGGAATGGCAGGCACCTAACCATGCTTTGATGTCAGTAAAGCCTTGAGCCACTTAAATCCATTTAAGGGTGTTGTAGGAGGGACTTCAATGTTATTCTCTTAGCCACTGCTAGCTGAGCCAGTGCTAGTGAGCGTTTCCGTTATGAGCAGCCCAAGAAAGCCTAACTGATACTCCAGAATGGACCAAAACCCAAACTTTTCTCCACAGCTGTGCTTCTCTTCTGCTATTCCTTGTCCTGGGTTATCTTAAGCTGATCTCAGATACTTGGTTCGCATTCCCCAACCTGGAGTCAGGCCACTCGCTCCTCCCTCATCCCCCGTCTCCAGAGGGGCCCATCTGTCACTACTACTGCTCTCAGAGAAAGAACGAAAAACATCAGCAAGCTGGGGCTCTGCAGCCCCACCCAGCGATGAAAGAGGAATGGGGCTGCCTCCCTGAGGCTGCAGGGCTCCTTGCTCCCCAGCTTCCATGATTTTCCAACCAGGAGCCCCCAGGCTAACAAGGAATGGCCCCACGTTGGCTATGGCACATGTGGATGAAAGCCCCACCCTCCACCCAGGACCCAAGCAAACCCCCTCCCCAGTCTCCCACCCAGTGGAGGGAGCCTCCTGAGAGCACAGGCCTGGGCGAGCTGGACACTAACCAGCCCTTCTGGTGTCTGCAGGCATGAGAGGGTCCAGTGGAAGGGACTGGTCCAGGCTTGGTCAGTCTTCCAAGAAAACATTCTCAGCAGGAACTGAGGGAGACCAACCACAGGGCTGTCACATGGCAGGATAACAGAATTAACAGGAAGTCAACAGGAGCAGCTAAAGAATTCGAAGCGCTCTCACTAGTGTAGGTGAGCACTGCCCAATTCTGTTCCCAGTGGCCACACGTGGCTACTGAGTGATGAACATGTGACAGGGATACTTGGGACCTGAATTTTTTATTTAATTTTAATGAACTCTGATTGCATGCATGCGTGATTTTTGATGTAGCCCCACCCCCTGAGACCCAAAAATGCCTAGGAGACAGCTTTTAGAAAAAACCGCAAATTCAAAAACTCAAAAAGTTTATTAGCTTGATATAATTAGGCCCATAGAACCCTATTTTAATCTTTATTTTTTACAGTGCCATATATAAACATGAAAGTCATTTGTATTAAGACACAGATAAACGTCTAATTAAGCTGGGCTCTCAGTCTACCTGAGTTTACAGTTCATGTCGTCATGGCTTTGCAACATTAGTCATTTTAAAGGTTGTCGTCCATTACAGCCCAGGAAGGTCACACCTGAGCTGTCAGCTGGACCGAAATAGCCCCAGGTTTTTATTAATAGGATATTATTCTAGCAATCAAATTCTTCAGGTACTAATCTGTTTTTAAAATTTTTATTTAGGTGCATGTTAAAAAGAAGTAATTTCAAACATTAACATTTCCTACTGAATTTCTGTTTCGGATGAAATCATGAATTTCAGGATTCCTTGATTTATTTTATATAAACAGAAATTAAATCAAATGATCTAAGTATTTCAAAGACTATTTCTGGACAAAAGCTTCAGAAAGTTTGCACTGGCCACTCCTAAATGTACTTGTTCAGCCATTCAAGTAAATTCCTTCTTGCCTCGTCAACGTAGGGCTTGTCTTCAGGCGAACAATCTTCTCTCTTTCGATGCACAAACCCATGAGTTTGCCCAGAAAATGTTTTAATTTGATATTCCACTTTGCAGTGTTCTTTCAACTTCTGGGTCAGCAAAGAGACCTGGTATGCAAAGATTTTCATGATGAAATGACTCTAAACCTCTAGTAATATTTTCCAATCTCTAAGTCTTCTGTGAATGCTCATAAAAGAGATTTAACATCAATGCTTTAAGCTGTGTTCCAGAGCCATAATGAATTTTTTACTTGTAATGTTATAAATAACATAACCCTTACCTCTGGGAAAGGAGAGAATTCAGGGCAATATAAAAATGATACATCAAATATTCAAAATTGAATTAATATGTATCTTTTTTTTTATCCTCACCCAAGGACATTTTTTTCATTGCATTTAGAGAGAGAGGAAGGGAAAGAGGAAGGGAGAGAGAGAAACATTGATGTGAGAGAAAAGTATGGATTGGTTGCCTTCCGTACACGCCTGGTCAGGGGATCGTACTCACCTAACCAGGGATTGAACCTGCAACCTTTCAGTTACGGGACGACACTCCAACCAACTGAGCCCCAATGGCCAGAGCTGTATTAATGTAGCTTATATAATATACTCTAGATAATCTAATATTCAATACATAACTTCATTTATTCAAATATATAATATTTAATATATTTAACATAAAATTCAATATACTCAAATATAAAATATTTGAAATTTATACTAACAAAGTATTGGTTGTGAATAACAATCATTTCTACATGAATGCTTTTGAACCGTTTGCTTCTGCATTTTCCTTGTCAACTTGAAGATTACACATGTGGAGACAGGAGGGAGGGCCGCATTTAAGCCCAGTAACTGGATCACATGGAGAGGACTTTAGGGGGTACTACAATCCCACTTTAAGTCCCCAGTAAAATTCAACTTTAAAACTCAATGATGCCCCTAGCCAGGAGGCTGTGGGTTGGAGCGTCGCCCATTCATTGACCCAAAGATTGCAGGCTCAATTTCCAGTCAGGGAGCAAACAGGAGGCAACCAATCAACGTTCTTTCTCTCTATCTTCCTCTCTAAAAATCAATAAACATATCCTCAGGTGAGGATTAAAAAAACTTTTTTTAGTCCTGGCTGGTGTGGCTCAGTGGACTGAATGCGGGTCAGTGAACTGAAAAGTTGCCAGGTCAATTCCTGGTCAGGGCACAGGCCTGGGTTGTGGGCCAGGTCCTTGGCTGTGGGCGTGAGAGAGGCAGCCAATTGATGTTTCTCTTATACATCAATATTCATCTCCCTCTCTTTCTCCCTCCCTTTTCCTCTCTCTAAAAATAAAGTCTTCAAAAATTTTTAATGTTAAAAATTTTAAAAATGCTGAAAAATATTTGAAGCAACAAATAAAACTTCTAGTATGTTCCCCAAAAATGTCAAATTGTGTTATTAAATACAGAAATGCAAAGAGGAAAGATGCCAACTTACTTGCTCAAGAGGAATCACAGCATCATTTTCAGCAAAAATGAACAATGTGGGGTTCTTCAAACTATACACATCTTCTGAATCCTTGATGATGCCTGCAGGATGGGGACAGTGACATGAGGTATGATTTCCATCCGTTTCTAATATGTGTCATGGAAGACTACCATATTTTGCCATGTATAATGCATTCCTGTGTATACTTCACACATGTATTTTTGACCCAAACTTTCAGGAAAAGAAAAATCTTTTGTTTTAATTTTTTTTAAGAAACAAAACTGATTATCATATTCCAGGGTATTGTTTTGCATACAGATATCCTTATTGTTTTCTAGAGTCACACTTTTAACACATAAGCATAAATAAAAGAATTAAAAACATATAGATACGGAATTAGTACTACCCATGTATATGCATGTCCTTATTTTTCCCTCAAAAATTTGGGCAAAAAAGTGCACATAATACACGGTAAAATACGGTATATGGTTTTTCTTTAATTTTTCAGAGTAAAATAGGTGCTTTTGGGCTTTTATTTTCTTTTTAAAAGCAACTCCACAGAAGTGGGCTGTCCTATAAAATGAGCCTCAAAGAGAAGCTTATCTAGTGGGGATTTGTGGCCAACGAGCAGGATGGGAGGCAGTGGATGGATTGAAAACTAAGAGAAAACATCGGGGTAAGTGGGATTCCGGCCAACTTGGCAGGACTGTTGCTGAAGGCAGACCTGGTGACAAGGTACAGACGATGGGGGATGAGGATTTGATCAGGTATCAAAGGTGAGGGATTCTCACTACACTGACCCAGTAGGCCAAGGACTGAGTCCAAGGGTGGAGCCTACTCAGAGAGAGGACTCACATGGGAGCCTGACCCAAGTTTGGTAAAAGAAGACCTGAACTAGTCAGTAGGTGGCAGAAAATAATGGATGGCTTTTCTCCCTCATTTTCTGTTGGCAGAACAGCGAAACTTAGTAACTTAGAGAGCCTTTCCTCACCTATAAATTCTTTCTAGGAGCCACAGGAAAGATGGCCACACTTCCTGCCCCACCACATTGCTGGACATCGATTTTGATGCCCCTGGGCCCCGTAGTCCTGCCTCGCTCCGCAGCTTTTGCATTGCACAAGTTGCCAAAAGGGGGTGCCAGAGAGCTACCCAAGCAGGAGAACTTTGCGCTAATTCGCAGAAACTACGCGTTCTAGCAACCCTGGTAACAACTGGAAACTTATTCCTTCCGTGTAAGTAAATACTTAAAAGGACTTTTTAATACTAAAAGTAAGAGAAAATACACCAGTGTGGAATCACTAAGCCAAATAAGAATCATTAGTATAAATGTGTGATGTATATATTATGAAAGAAGGCCAAATATTTTTTTTAACTTATTTTGTGTATGTGCATGGCTGAATGCTTCTATGAGGGCATCAAAAAACCCTGTAATTTACTTATAAACAATTGTGTATTTATTCTTACATGTTTAAACTTCAGTCACTTTCAAAGTACTCTCCATTTGATATACCTGTCAAGACCTTTTTCCCCATTGCTCAAAACCGTTTTTGAATCCGTCAATTTGGACACCTTTTGGTGCTGCTGCCGTTTTTTGTTTCACCTATTCCACATCGGCAAAATGATCCCCTTTGAGGATTTTATTCATCCAGGGAAACAAAAATAAAGTTGAGATCAGGTGAATAGGGAGGGTGGGACACTGGGGTCGTGCCATTTTTTGGTTAAAAACTGCTGAACACTCAAGCAGTGTGGGCAGGTGCACTTGTAAATCACCCACACGAAATGGGTCTTCAAAAAAAATTCACTGAAGCCATATGCAGACCCTCACAACAATGCCACCTGGTACACTGATACAGATGGGTTTCTAGAACACTCGACTAGCGGAAGAACCCTATACTACCAGGCGCCTACCCTCTGGAAGATAATTCTGGATTTATTTGTGTCACCCCTCAGATATTATGAACTTAGTATGTCATTTCCACACACAGATATAATGTTATTATTAGTGCTATGATACCTGTGGATTGTTTGGGCTGACATGTTTATATTGCTATTTACATTTTGGAGTAGGTTTTTCCTTTTCTTCCCTTCTTTATAGAGTGTGCTTGTGTGTATGTGTGCACGCACACACATGCATACAGTGGAGAATAACTTGTATCTTGGAAAAATCTTTGCATAGATATTCCTCATGAAAATGTTGCCTGGTATTAACTGTTGTCACTGGAATAAATGGTATCCCCTTCATCCTAAGTGAAGAAACTGAGATGCCAGGTTAGGTGACTTTTCCAAAACAACACTGTTGGGACCCATGTCCCCCACTCCCAGTGACATCCTCTGGTGTCTTGCATTACAAACGCCTGTCTCGACTTTTAGATTTTTAAAGCCATTTTCATGACTATTGGGTTTTATGTTACACCTGGCACCCTTAGCTTGGGAAGAAGCTTGTGGTTATGGTCACCCATGAATCCTTCTGTTTTCACTCTGTAAATCTGTACAAGGCATGTTTACCATAGAGAGACACTCCTGCCCTCAATTCCGGGTATTTCATCATCACGTGATGGACTGCAACTCCTCCCCAGCAGAACCCCACGACGCCAATTTTCTGGGCATGACACTGTTGTTTCAGATACCTCAAGACAGCATCAACCTCTCTAGAACAGAAAGAAAAGTTATTCAAGAATTAAGAGGTCTTTTGTGAAGCCTTGGGAAGGGCACTGGGCAGCTAACAGGGCTCTATCAGCAGCTGTTCCTTAAGGTTCTGAGAGCCTTTCTCTCGGAGCTCCATCCTCACCACCTCCTGCCCATGTGGCGAGTGACGCCCACGTCTCCTGGGAAGCCTCCCTGCCAAACCCAGCTCCTCAACCACCTGACAGGGCTGCAGGCAGGCTCCTTCCAAAAGACCAGCAAATCTGACCAGCTCACGTTCCAACCGAAAGCTGAGCGATAGCCTCCCCAGCCTCAGCATAAAGGCCAAAGGCCACAGCATAGCTCTGAGGCCTGGCCCCAAGATCTGTCCCTGCCCAGCACACCAGTTTCCTCTCAACAGGCACCAGCTCCAACTGGGCAGCTCTCCCAATACTCTAACTTGGCACCTTCATTCCCCCTGCTGAACACCCCACTCTGCATCGCTTGTCTCCTCCTGTATCCAAAAAGCAGGGCAAGATTTGGAAAGCCACCAGGACTGTTTAAGCCACGAGGGGACCAAGGACAATGGTCCTTGTCTTGCAAATGGTTCATTTGCAAATTGGCTGTTTGGAACAACTCAGAAGACATTTTCAGCTAGAAGCAATGAACTTAATTAGGGGTCCGTGGCCATCCACGTCCTACTCAGAGGGAGGGCAGGTGTCTGAACAGTGAAGCCCGGCCCCCTTTTCCCTCCCTCTGGACTCTGCTCTCCCTGGTGCCTGGGGGCACCACAAACACAGCCATACCCACCCATAACTCACTTATCGATCTTTCTGGCATTTCTTGTTTTCAGCCACTCCGGAAAGGTGGACCAATCCCCAGAGGGGTGCCATGGCTCTTGCCCTACAAAGAAGTCTGGAACAATGGTTCTGTAAATTAGGGACATTAATTGATCTTAGTTTCATTGCTGTTGGGACTCAGTATTTGCTTATATTCATTAAAAAACTTGCTGTGTTGGCGATTCTCGCTGACAGAAAAAGTCATGGCCACAAGAGCCAACTTTGATCACAGCAAAGAGGCCAACTGGCGCTAGGCCAGACCATCTCGGGTGTCACAACCAAAGGTGCATGGCCTCTGGCAGCCCACTTATAGCACGGCCCATCTAAAATGACAAGGTTTCTCAGCAGGGCACACACCCCATGAGACATGGGGACCCACCAGTGTGGGCCTGGAGCAAGGTGGCTACCAGGGTCCCTCCAGTCCCCACACCTCTCAGCTGGCCTTTCATGTTAGCCTCAGGTCAAAAGGGCACACCTGGTTAGCATGTCCAGTCACTATGACCAAGCAATTTTCCCCAGCTCCGCCCAGCATGCCAACAGGGCACAATTTCCTGCCCAGATGGTGTGGTTTAATGAGGGTTCTAAAAGGGGCCGCAGCGGGAGAACAGCCAGCTTGCCTGAGTCCATGTCGATTGTAGGGGCGGAAAAAATTTCCTTCCTTCCCTTCTAGGTTCTTTGGCTGGTCTAGTAATTAAATCGACACAAGACAATGAACAGGTGAAAACAAATTCAATTTTGTGGACGAAAAAGGGGTTCTATGGGAAGAAATCCCATAGGGTGATCCGATCATAAATTCCTAACTGGGCAAGTCATGGGTGGGTAGTCACATCCCAGGCACAAAACTTTTTAGTAAAACATTTTTCTTTGCCTTAAGCAGGCCCTGTCCATTGTTTCTGTGCATCTAGGTTAACACATCTTTTGAAATAAGCATAACCACCCTCAAGAGAGCACATAATCTCCTTAACACTCCTGTAATTCTATCCCTACCTTGCTTCTCCCACCTCCGTGTAATGTTCCTTACATTCCCTTCTTAATTCCGAACGCATAAAAGAAGCTGCAGAAGTGTTATTCATTTAGATGCTGCTCCCCGGCACGTCTTCAGTTTGGCTCAAATAAACTCATAAAAATGATCTACAGTTTTGAACATTTCTTACGTCAGCAATTTCACATAGGGGAGCCCCCATAAAAATAGAAGACCCAAAGGCAGTGAGGCAATTGAGGCTTATACGCCATCCTGATCTAAGGACAGGGTTATGGATCTGGGACTTCAAAGGGAACATTAAGTCACAGGACGATAAGAAGAGCAGAGGTTTGGTAATTACATGTTTGTCCTGCCATATGTGTATGTCATTTAGGTAAAAGTTATCTTTGGTCATATGTCTCTTTCTGGTTCAGGCTCCATAGCTAAAATTTTTTAGGTAGTTAAGGGAGAGGTACAAGTACTCCTTGAGTCTGCCAGACCTTGACTGCCTTCAGCTCAAAACAATCCACATGCCCCAGTGGCACAACTGGGGGCAGCCTATTCTGTTCCCTTTCACAATCTTCCGTGCAAGTCAATCCAGGAGGGTGAGGCCAACGCTGATCCAGCCAGAGACCTGTTTCCTAAAATAAAGGGCCATCGCCAAGGGTAGGGGAACACAGCTCCTCCTGCAGGGGCAAAAAGAACACTGAAATTTGGGTCAGAAGAATGTGAATTCCAGTCCCACTACTGCATCATCTGCCCATATTCTTCAAGCCATTTAACCACTTTTAGCCTCATTTTCTCCCAACAGAGACTGCACCTGGCACCACCCAATGTCATAGGGTTATTTTGAGGCAAAAGGAGTCTGCAAGCAAGAAAGAGCTTTGTAAATTCCAGGCGTCCTTAACTGTTTTGATGTCAGCTAAAGAACCACCTGAAACAACAGAAGCCGCAATCCCATTCTATCTGCCGGTTGCTGCAAAGTGACCGGGGCCACTGAATCTACTTCAACTGGCCAAGGTTTCCCAAAAAACAGAGAACAGGACAGTGCTGCCCTGGAGGGGTCATTGAGAGGATTAAGCACAACAGACATAGGCAGGGTCAAAGGCAATGGGGCTGGTAATCATTTTTGGCTCTTGTTTTGTTCTTGTTTTTGTTTTGTTACTGGGCTTGCCCCTGGGAAGTTAAGTTACCTCATCCTTAAAAAGAAATTGGGGGCATGAAAGAGAGAAAAATCAAGTGCAAGTCCTCTTTTTGGTAAACATTAAATTTGCATCCTACGGCAGGGGGTCTGCATCTTTTAAATCGGATCCTCTTCTTAGGAAAACAAGGAAGATGCACCCTTTGATTTCCAGCTTCTTTTTTGGAGAAAACAAAGGAAACCAGGGTGCAACAAACTCAGGGCTTGCTGGGTTTTATGCTTTCTGAATCTAGAGGGGAAGGAAGAGTTCCTATTCTCTACCGCTTTACTGAAGCTGTTACCAACACCAGGGCAGGTGAAAAGCAAACAGGTGACAACTTTTGCCCCGTGAATGGACAAAAGCATAACCTTTGGGAGATGAGGGAGAGAGCTCACTGTCCCACTTGGGAACCCAGTCTCGCTCAGACAGGACCCTGACAGTTTGTATGGAGACCAGGATAACCACGGGCACCCTGCCTGTGAAATCTGATTCGAAGCCAACACACTTCAAGGACCAAGTGATGGGCCATTTCAGAGTTGGCGACATCTGCCCAAGAACACATGTCCTGTACCTGTGTCTGGTAGGGGCCCACATTGAGGTCACTCCTAGGAAGACCTGAAGCCCAGGGATTGGGTTGGGAGCAGGTGGTTTCCGTTGGACAGCAGAAGGGTATTTAATTTTCATATGACATTTCCCATTCATCCACACTCCAGAGACCGAAGGAAGTAGATAATGTAAATTACAACACAATCAGGGTTTTTTGGTCTTTTTGTTTTCCCTGAAGGGAACAAAATGCAGATCACAGAAATTTACAGGGATTTAAGCAAAGGAACAGAACTTTATACGCACGTGTATCCGTTTCCGGCAATCATGTCAGCCATATATCTGGTATTGGGCAACTGCCAGCCGAATATATCTTGAATGACAATCACGGCTTTGCCAGCATCAACAGGGCATCTGGTGACATAGGCCTTGATGTGCTCAACTTGAACTTCATGCCCCATCCCTCCATACTCTATCTTATGGCCAATGTCACAGGGACAAGGATAAGCTTCGTTAGCCATTGGAGATAGTTAAGTCGGGCTACAGAGAAAGAAACATACCTTATATTCTGAAGAGTGCAAATCTGAAGATTATGAACATTAATTAAACTAAAATCAAGGTTACATAGAAATATTAGTTTTAACTCTATTCCTAGTGTACTCACGGAAGAAATCAACGATGAAATTTGGTTCATCTGAAGACATTATAGGAAAGAATTTCTTATTAGCTTAACATGTTCTCACATATCTTTCATATGTGTAATATCCATTAGGCACACCTTTAATATGTATTTTCTGGGTGAGGGGAAGAAATCAGTGATGGCTCCTGGTTTTGACAACACCACAGATTGGAGCTAATAAGACTACATTTCAATTGCAAACACTAGAAATACCAGAGTGAACATAACCATCAAATAAAAACAAAAAATAGTGCAGCTCATAGGAAAAAGGAACAGCACCCAAGCCAGGGCTGGAGAGGAAGCTGAAACTCGGGTCAGGATCGCGGGAGCAGATGCCGATCGAGCCCTGCGAGGCTGGAGACCAGCCGGACAGGGGACCAACCCTAACACTGCCTGGAGCCCTGTGAGGCCTTGGGGCCCCATGAGATGGGATTTGTAGCTGAGACCTCTCTACAAAATGTCAGAGCCCTCAAAGGTTCAGAGTTAGGTGGGGGGTGGGGGTGACCCCACAAACAACAAAAACAAAAAAGGAAAACTCTGCCAACCAGGACTAGGAATACGGTAAGGAAGCCCAGAAAGGGGAAGAAAGGAAACCATCCCCCCCAAATTCACAAGGTCCTTTCCAAGTAGCAAAGCTTGGGCTGAGAAATTAAAATAACAATTAGCCCCGGGCACCCAGGAGAAGCAAATGCAAATCTACTTTACAGCGAGACTTTCACAATCAAGACCGAAACACTCCCCGTTGAAAAGGAACTCAGTATAAAGCGCTACACACAGACAATAATCAGGAGAAATTATGGTGACAGCGTGGGGAGAAATGAGGAAGGGACCTAAGAAGTTTGACAAAATGAACAGAAAGCAGAAAAGGAGAAGAAAAATTAAATCTTACCCACTGCAAAGGGAGAAAGGCTGAAATAGATCCAAATAAATTAAAAAAGATTAAATTCACTGTTTGAGACAGGTTCTTAAATTGAATTTTTAAATGTCGAAGCACCATTGGAAAGGAGAACCTGAGAACGCTGAACCCAAAGATGTCCAAAAAGGTAAGCGGACCACAGGTAAGCGGACCAGATGCCCGGGACTTGTTTCAGAATAGCCCAGAGGGTGGTGAAGATGGGAGGGAGAGTGTTCCGGTGTCAGTGTTGAAACTGGATGGTGAGTTCAGGAACGTCCTTTGTACTAATCTCTCTAGTTTTATTATTTAAAAAAAATTTTTTTCTTTCCTTGATTCCAGAGAAAGGGGAAGGGAGGGAGAAAGATAGGGTCAGATATGTCACCGTGAGAGAGAAACTTCGACTAAGGTTGCCTCTTCTGCATGCCCCAGCTACAGACCAAACCCACAACCTAGGCACGTGCCCTGACCAGGAATCGAACCCTGGACCTCTTGGTTTGCTGGATGGCACCCAACCAACTAAACCACACCATCCAGGGCTCTCTACTTTTATATATCCTTAGGATTTTCCTCAACAAAAAATGTTTAATTTCTCTGAAATTTGAAAAACGATAAGCTAAAAGCCTCCATAAATAAAGCAAGAAGACAGGATACAGCCCTGACTGGTGTGGCTCAGTGGGTTGGGTGTCATCCAACAAACCCAGGAAACTGGGTTCTTATCAGAGGAGGGAAATTTGGAGATAGAGACAGACACAGTGGAGCGAAGTCAGAGGCAGGGGTTGGAGTGATGCATCTATAAACCAAGGAACACTAAAGATGGCTAGCAACCGCCAGAAACTAAAAGAGAAGCAAGGAAGGATTCTCCTTCAAAGGTGTGAGGAAGAGCATGGTCCTACCAACACCTTCGTTTAGGCCTTCAGGCCTCCAAAACTGAATAATTCTTTTCTTTAAATCCTCACCCAAGGATATGCTTATTGATTGCAGAAAGAGAGGAAGGGAGGAAGGAAGGGGGAAGAGAGAGAGAAACAGAAACATCAAGGAGAGAGAGAAACATAGATCAGGTGCTCCCCGCCACGCGCCTCGACCAGGGATGGAACCCACCACCTCTTGGTGTGTGGGACGACACTCCAGCCAGCTGAGCCGCCCAACCAGGGTCAGAACTGAATAAATATTTGAGAGAATAGATTTCTGTTGTCTTAAGTCACTCAGTTTGTGACAATTGGTTATGGAAACCTGAGGACACAAAAAAATTCATAAGAAGAATATTCTATAGCAGTTCAAAAAACAAGCTATATATCAATATGATAAATCTCAAAAATGTAATGCTATAAAAAAAGAGAATGGCTTTTTTATGCTAAGTAAATACTAAAACCCCAAAACAATACTTATTAATAAATATAGGGTTTTAAAAGTATAACTCGAGAGAACAAAACACACCATCACTAGACAGCGGTTATTGGTGGGGGAAGGAGATTGCTGGCTTTTATTGTATTTGTTTTATTTCCTTAAAAAGTTTTGATTTAAAGTACAAGGGGAAAAATGAAAAAAACTTTTATTTTTTTAAAGATTTTATTTATTTATTTTCAGAGAGAGGAAAAAGGAGGGAGAAAGAGAGGGAGAGAAACATCAATGTGCAAGAGAAACATGAGTTGATTGCCTCTCACAGGCCCCCAGCGAGAAACCTGGCCCGTAACCCAGGCATGCGCCCTGACAGGGAATTGAACCAATGACCTCTTGGTTCACAGGCCAGCGCTCAGTCCACCAAGTCACACCACCAAGGTTGAAGTTTTTTTTAAATCTAGATCATGTGAAAATGGGTGGCAGCTATACTTTATTGTGTACTTCCCAGAGCATTCTAAATGTTCACAACTAGAAAAAACATAACTAAATTTTAAGGAGAGAGAAATTAAGACTAGCCATTTGATCAAAGGAAACATGACTCCCTTTTCCATTGTTTTGTGTTCATAAACTAAGTAACAGAACTACCATTAGAAAGAGAAGTCAGGAGAGTCCAATGCCAGTAGCAGTGAATTTTACGTCCACTGCACTGTTGTTGAGAACTGATTCCCTCAGCTGATTTCATCCCTGGGCTGTCCTGAGGATGCAGAGACCACAGAAAATCCTGGTTATTCCAAATTAGCCTGAATCTGAATCTTTTAATTTTATCGTCAGTTGTTATTCACTTTCCAGGTGGAGCATTTACAGCCAGGAGACCCCCACTCTGGACTGATCCTGCAAAGGCTATTCTCCTGCAGAAAGGGGTGGTGGCCAGGAGAGGCATGGGTGTGCCCTGTGGGGAAGGCTGGGCTCCTGCCAGGCCTTTCAGGTGGCACAGCAGCCTGTGTGGCCAGGGCCAAGGTCACAGTGGGCCAGGCAGTTTCTTCAGACTGTACCCCTTAGTGGGATGAGAGCCTCAGGGGACATACCCTTGACGCTTTACTGATTGACTACACTATGAGGAAAGTTTCTATATGCAAAATATACCTTTCAGCATTTTGGCTCTTTCCCCCTAAAAGACACATTTGTTAAAAGAAAACTTACAGGAAAAAGTAAAACCATGACCCTAGTATAGATATGAAAATGAATACATTAAGGATTTTATTTTCCACATACGATAGGCAGACATGAGACAGATGTTATAACTGTTCAAAGGAAAAAAGAAAAGAGCACAAGTTTATGTTGTGTAAAGGAATATTGAGATGAATTGCAAATTGAGACAGGACAAAATTTACAAATCTATCAGCTACCCATGATTTTCAAAGAATTGCCAAAGTGTTCAAATACAATGAACAGTGCTAGAATCAGACAGCCCAGAAGTATGTGCTGTGGATGATGGATACCTTCCCATTGAAACTGTTTTCTCCATATGTCCTTTCTAGAGTCATTCGGTGTGAGTGGTAAGGTTTCTGTTTCCTCCTAGAAAGAGATGGGACTGTGGGTCTGACATGTATGGTAGTGTCCTTGTAAAATGTGTGTCTGGAACAACTTTTCTGTATCATGGCTGGTGGGTTTGGCAACACACTGTGGCCACCCTGAGATCAGATCTTTGATCCCCACCGGTGAAGGCCTCTTGATGGCACTAGGGTTGGCCAAGATAGGCTTCTGCAGAGGACACCCTGGCTGGGCACATTCTTTGGCAATGCCATGCTAAGTTCACCACTAATGCCTACGATTATCCCACAACATTCATGCAAGATGCCACATATGCATGAAGGGCTGCGAAGCTGACCCCCCTACAGATTAATGGTCCCTGGCAGATTCTCTCCTTGACCAAACTCCTCTGAACCCTCTTCTCAGCTAGGCTCTGACTTTTGGGCCTCCAAGCGCATCTCTGCATTGTCAGTTTTAGTAAGAATCCTGCCAAGTCAATCTAGCAGAGCCCTCCCACTCTCCGTATCAGATCAGTATCCTCGCCCTCCACCATCCCCCAGGTGATGTCTGATCAACTTTGGCTTTGTCTTGTGCCAAAATCCTATAAAGTCCATTTAGCTGGATTCCCTTCACCCTGATGCTTCCTTGGTAATCCTCCATCCACCGATCCCTACTCTGCTCTTTGGCTAAAAAGCCCCAATTTTTCTCGTATTCAGAGTTGAGCCCAATCTCTTTTCTACTGCAAAATCCCACCGCAGTGGTCCCTACACCTATCATGACAGTCCCGAATAAGGTCTGCCTTGCCATTCTTTAACAAGTGTCATGAATGAATAATTTTTTTCCTGAACATCCCCCAGCCCTGCTTCACATAGCAGGTGCCTCCCCAGAATTACAAGTCAAGACCTGTGGAGATCACGGGTGCATGTTTGATCTGCAAATCCCAAGAAGCTGCCAATCCTTGCTCCTCTCCTAAGGTGTACCTTCCTACAGCTGTCTTCTACTCTATATAAATTTGTGCTTCTTGACTTCTTTTTTGAACCAGTTATAAGATCTGCCTGACTCCCTCTTTAATGAATAAAACAGAGCTTTAACAGTGTTCATTTTTATATCTGTATGAGAGTCATGACTTTTTACCTTACGCTGAGAAATATCTTCTAACAATACAATTGAACAATATTCCCTTTTTCTCACCAGAAGTCAGCAAGGCGAGAAATAGGTGATAAAGTATGGGTGAGCAAGTGTCGTATTCCTACATGCACACCCCAAGGATTTAAATAACTCGGAAGTCATACTTCCCAACGCAATAGAGATCTCCACCAGAAACGGAGAGAACAGATTTTGACGAGCAAAAAGGATTGGCGGAGATGGGGTTGTAAAAAGCAAAGAAGTCTGGGAATAAATTTCTGGAAGCTTCGGAGATTTAGAAATAGAAACCACCTGCAAGCGCCACAAAAGCAACACTGAAAGATTATACGGGAAGGGCGGTGGCTACCGGGAAGGCTCCCGGGCTTTTCCTTTACTTAGTAAACACTGTACGAGTGTGCCTGGGAACCGATTTTCAATCTTGCAGGGGAAGACTGGGCCCTACTTCTCCTTTGATGATTATGTGAACGTCAACTCCTCCAGTTACTTATTCTTCCAGTTATTTTTCAGCAATCACATCTGTATTTTCTAAAAGGTACAAGGTCCAGGCAGTATTAAGCAGAAAGCTAGCCGCGATGAGCACACGCTGACTGGGGATCGCGCCAATCACCTGGCTGCCTTTGACCTTTGCTTGGGCCGCAGTCAGGCCTAGATAGGATTTCGCCAGATACCCGCAGGGCTCACTTCTGACCACCTTATTTTAAAGGGGCTTTGAAGGCGACAGGTGGCATTTTCCATCAGCAAGAAACCTAAATGGCAGTACCCAATGTTAGCAAGGCCTGGGCAAGGTGACACTTCTGCCTGACGACCCATATGGCTGTGGGTGTGTATTGTGCAGTCTTTCTGGGTAGCATGTACCCAGCAGCCAGGACATCACACTCCTACACCCAGTACCTCCTCTCTTAATATCCACCCTTAAAAAAAATACTGCCAAATGTGGACAGTGATCTTGATGCAAATATACTCGTTTCCCCATAGCTTTATATTAGTAGTAAAAAAAAAAACTATACAACCAAAATGTTTATCTGTAGGAAGAATAGATACCAAGAGCATTTGATAGCACGAAGGAAAACTTCTGACAAGCGTTTAGGGAAAACGAACGCAAGTTTTTATACAGTATGATTTCAACTATTTTTAAAGTGTATGGCTAAACATTATAGGAAAATTTGCCCAGGTGGAATGGCGGGGGTTGCTTTTCTGCAATGACAAGGTACTGCTTTAATAAAAGCCAGGTTTTGAAAATGGACTTCGACAGGCTCATCACCTGTGCACATGGCCAAAACCTTCTTTGCCTCCTGCGAACACCCGACCGATTTAGAGTGGAGCGGAGCTCCCAGCGCGGTTCCCTACTGGGAAGCGCACGTACCTCTTCCGCCGTCTGGAAACTGCCTACCGCGCAGAGGGGGCGACGCCGGGAGGGGGCAGCGCCGCAGACCCTCAGAGCCCCAAGCCACGGTCAGGGGTGAGCCGAGTGGGAGGTGCCTCCTGCCCGGGCGGAAGTGGACGCGATGACCGAGGGCGGCGGGATCTCTGCGGGCCAGTGGCAGTCCGGGATTCCCTGCGCCCCGGGGAAGGCGGGGCGGCGGGAGCAGTGAGGGGAGACCCGTTGGGAGGGGCGAGGGAGGTGAGAGGGAAGGAGGGAGAGAGGGAGGGAGGCAGGGTTGGAGAAGGAAGACCTGTGCCTGGCACCTAAGACCTGTAACTTCTGCGTTGTAAATCAAAGTTAGGCTATTCTTAAAAGTAAATTATTACATATTCGCACTTGCCCTCCCCCATCCCCACCCCCGCTCCATATTTTGTCTGATCATCTAAGATTGTAAAAACTGTCTTTGTAAGAAACCTCCAAACCTGTAGAGAATTTTTATGAGTTTATTTGAGCCAAACTGAGGACAATTGCTGGGAAACGAAATCTCAAGGAGAAAATGCTCTGGAGAAGGGCAGTTTTGCAGCTTATTCTGTACATTAGAATAAAAAGAGGAGACATAAGGAGGGTTACTGTGCAATCCTTTGGTGGTAGATTAAGGGGGCAGGAGAAAAGCAAAGTGGGCAAATGTCTGGGATTGGATAAAAGATAATGGAGAGACACATACTCCTTTTACTCTGGTGGGCAGGTAATTAGACAAAAACACTTACAGTGCGAGAGATGGTATGAGGGCGGCATAATAACTATCCCGGTTCTGTGGTCTCCTGCTCTGGTGCTGGCGGTTGTGCCTTCAAGGGGTCTGAAAAAGATTATTCTGACATTTCAAGGTATTTTATCTTAGATGCACAAAGACAGTAGACACGCTCACTTAAGGTAAAGATTGATGTTTGTCAAGGAAGCTATAAGCCTAGGATATGACTAGAGCCCCTACCATGAGCCCCTTTTAGTTAGAAATGTATGATCAGACCATCCTATGTGGTTACTTTCAGTCTCTGAATTTTAAAGTCCTGCCCCAGGTCTATAACGTCAGTGAAAGGTGTTTGTTTGTCTGTTTATGGAGGAGGAAAAATGAGGGAAGAAAGCATCCTTGCAAGAGAGAAACATCAATCGATCAATTGGTTGCCTTTTGTGTGTGCCCCCAACCTAGGCCTCTACCTTGGCAAGGAATCGAAATGGGAACTTTTACTTTGTGGGATAACACCCACACCAGTCAGGGCTAGTGGAAGGTTTTAAGTCAGCTGTGACTGTTGTTCTTGTGCACCTGAGTTAACACACTTTTGAAATACGAGAAGTAACACCCCTCCAAAGGGATATTAATCTTCAAAGAGTACATAATCTCGTTAACTCTCCTGTAATCCAATCCCCACCTTTGTTTTTTTCCTACCTCCAAGTAATCTTCCTCACATTCCCTCCTTAATTTCGGATGCATAAAAGAGCTGCAAAACTGTTATTCTCAGGAGTATTTGAGATTCTGCTCTCCGGAATATGTCATCAGTTTGGTTAAAATAAACTCATAAAAATTCTCTACGGGTTTGGACGTTCTTACTCAACAGGATCATGTATCATCTTCTAGTTGATGAGCCTTGTTTTCACATATATAGTAATCTGAGGTTTCTCAAGACAGAAGCTATAAGTATTCTTCCCTTTCACACCAGAGCTCAGTGAGTAGATGCCCCTTAGCCCCATCAATTTTTGTTACCCTCAAGACATGTCCCTTCTGTTTGGATTTAGCTTCCTCAACTGTAAAATGAGAGATTAGACAAGATTTGGTTCCCAAACTTTAGCATGCATCAGAGACCCCAGGAGTTCTTGTTAAACCACAGAGCACTGGGCCCCTACCACAGAGTCTCCAGTTCAGGACTCCTAAGGTGGACTCCAGGAATCTGCACGTCCAACAAGATTCCAGGTGATGACACTGATGCTCCTGGTCCAAGGACCGCTCCTTGAGAGCCATAGACCAGAATCACAGTGACTAGCAGACTCATTTGGCTGATCATCAAAACCACCGAGGAAACTTGTAAAATTCAGATGTCCTGGGCTCAGACCCACTGAACCACAATCTTCAGAGCTGGCACTAGGGATTCTGTAGTTCAAAGAAGCTTCCCAGGTGGTTCTCATGATGGACCAAGTTTAGGAACCAACTGAACTAGAAAATTTGTATAGGTCATGTCACTGTCAACCTTCCATGATTTTATGTTGTAGGTTCAGCTGAAGGAGGGCAGATACAACTTTCAGGATGGCATATTCCTTGTAGCTTGCTCAAACTGGAAATATACAAGAAAAGGGAATTCTGGGAAAAATAGCTCAGCCTGGACAAGTGGGTGCATTACCAAACCATCATGCCATGGTGGGTACTCTCCAGTCCTCGCCACTGCAAAAGTGTTAGCTTGCTAGAGATACACAGATTTACCCCTTTCTTACCCAATTTGGGAACATAAAATAACAAACTATTTTACTGTGTTCAGGTTGTTCCAAAATAATTGGTAGGTGTTTCATTTTTACATCTGAATAATTAAAAGAAATCACCAGAGTTTTATCACCCAAAGCAAACTGAGGCCCAAGAACAAATCTTTATTTCTATGCTAAAATGCACAAACTGTTTACAATACCCAAAATGACAGTTTTCAGGTTCGCCAATTTTAGTTTTAAACTCCTCTGGGAAATTCCTCACTCAAGTTAATATTTAAACCAGGGTCAAAAAAAAAAAAAGAATTAAAAGTTACATTCTAAAAAAAATGTTACATCCTTATAGAACTCAGTGTAAGTGAACACTAAGATTTCATGGAGTTCCATAATAAATTAAAGAGCTATGACTCAGCAGTCACAGCTGGTTATCCCTCCAAAGTTGTTTTATTTTTCATTATGAAATAAGGAACTAAATTCCAGAAACTGAATGAGCCCAAGCTGAATTAACAAACAGAGCAAAGGCAAAGTTAAACAAAACTGCTGGCTCTGCTAAAACCTTGTGATTGGCACTGGTCTTCAAGGCAAGGTCAGGAAAAGTATTTCATGGAACTGCTCCTCTAAAGGATTTTGGATCAAAATCAGAAAAAGTGCTGGTGTGTTTCAGAACATCTCAAAATACCTGAGGGAGAACCCATTCCAGTTCATCTGTTACCATTTATGGGGTGATGGTACAGACTCAGCCCCTCCACCCCTTGAATGCAGCTGTGGGTAGCCAGCAGGAAAGCACCGAGTCTTGTGTGCAGGACAGGTGTTACTGGTGAAGACAGGTCAGAGGCTGGATAGAAAAGAAAGTAGCTGGTTTCTAGAAGATTCATGAGCCCATAAGCCATCTTTTTTTTTCCCTTTTTATTATGAAAATTTACAAATACAGTGGCACATCGGTACTTGTTGTTACTGTTCTAGAACTCCAGACAAGTGCTGAAACTGACAAGTACCAAACAACAAATCATTTTCTCTTTTGGTGCTGTATTGTGACTCACAAATTCTAACAAGTACCATGAGTCCCAAGCAAGCACCGAGTGCTGCAACATTTTTTTCCCTTCAAAATGTGACGAGTATAGGGTTTGATGAGTTCTAAAGTTGATGAGTACCAAGGTGTGACTGTATATAGAAAAGTAGTTTGCTAAATTTGCTTCATCAGTTTCTTTTTCTTTTCTTTTCTTTCTTTTTTCCAAAGTAGATAAGTTATAGACAACATAACATTTCACCCTTCAGTAATTTTATGGTAGTCAGCCTTCAAGATGACTCATAACACTTCCTGCCTCTGGGAATCCACACCTTTCTCACACTGTACAAGAGCTAGTCTGTGTGGCCAGTAGAATCCAGAAATAGAGGTGGTATGTCTCTTCCGGTACTAGATTATACAAGACACTGTGGCTGCCATCGTACATTCTCATTCCCTTTCTCTCTCTCTCTGTCTCTCTCTCATCACATCCTCTGGGGAAAGTCAGCTGCCATGTCATGAATATGACCACGAAGGGCCATGTGGCACAGAAAGCCTCTGACTAAAGCCGTGTGCCAGATCATCATGGACAAGGATCCTCCAGCCCAAGTCAAGTTTCACATGACTGCAACCCCAGCCATCTGAAAGGTAACCTTGGTGGTGACCTCCTGAGAGACTCTGGGCACGAACCACCTAGCTGAGTCACTCTTAGTTTCCTGACTCTTAGAAACTGTGCAAGATAATCATTTTTATTGTTTTAAGCTGCTAAATTTTGGGCTACATTGTTATACAACAGGAGACAGTTAATACACATTTTGATGCCTGCAAGTGGGGTGCTCTGTAACAAAATCCTAAAATGTGGGAATGGCTTTGAAAGTGGGCGGGGGCTCTGTGGAGAGGGGAAGTGAAAGCCTGAAGTGCTTTGAAGGAAATGTTAACAAGAGAGTCGTTGTCTTTAAAGATTCAGGTCAGAGCTTCACAGGAAAGTGAGGCAAATGCTATTAAGAACTAAAGGAGGGGGATCCTGGTAATGTTGTTTCCTGCAGTTATGCAGACAGAAGAAAACACCTCTAATGAACTTGTGATCTGGCTAAGGAGATTTTGAACCAGAGTGTTGAAAATGCACTTAGCTTCTTCTAATTGCAAGAGGAGAGAGATAAAGGAAAGGGATGGATGTTAAGCAGAAAGGAGTGAAGACTGGATGGGTTTGAAAATTCTCAGCCTTTCCAGATGGCAAATTATGCAAGAATTAAGGAATGGCTTCCAAGCAGAGATCAAATTCAGGGCTCTGCCAGAAAAACTGTGAACCAGACATAAACCCTACTGTGCCTGTAAAATTATTTTTTAAGAGATTCACAAAGATATAAGGCAGTATCCCAGAGGACTATTCAATCAGACAAAAAGGACCTCTAAAAAGGCGTGCCTCACTGCCGTGGTCTGAATGTGCGTGTTCGCCCAAATTCATACGTTGAAATCCTAATCCCCAGTGCAATGGTTTTAGGAGCTGGAGACTTTGGGAGGTGAGGAAGTCCTGAGGATGTAGCTCCTCCGACTGGGATTAGAGTTCTTATAAAAGAGACTCCAGAGAACTCCCTCCCCCTTTCTACTGTGTGAGGATACAAGAAGTCTGCTCACCTAGCCATGCTGGCACCGTGTCTCAG